TTCCTTTGCTGAAATTGCAGCATCTGAAACTTTGACTGGTACAATGAAACACACTAGCAACATCTTCCATGCATGTCTAATTAATATAGGACATAGATGTACTTAAAAAGAAAACTGCTCCAAAAAACTTAACCTTAACCGGGACGCCGACGCCGACACCGACGCCGACGCAGAGGGTATCACATAAGCTCCCCCCTACTTCGTTGAGGTGAGCTAAAAATTTAAAGAAAAAATACACTACAGCTAAACAGAAAGGCAGTGTTTATTTCCTAGACACCATACCTTATGGAAAATAAAATATTAAAAACATTTTTGTGCAATTGATTATTTTTTTCCAAAAGCCATTGAAGAGTTTTATACAAAAAATGGGAAATTTATTTTTTCATCACGGTCAAATAAAGGTCAAGTATATATTAAATATGCATGTTAAATAATAAATAGCATTTCAAAACAATTTCTTTATAGTTCCAAATCCAAATACAACACAATTATTTATTTTCAATAATCAAATTATATCTATATCTACAGTATTATTTCTAATTTCAAGCTGAAAGGGGGAAATAATTCATGTTGACAAAAAACAACAAAATATCATTTTTTGAGGATTTCTGTTATCAAGAAAATAAAATATATCTATGATTTAAAAAATAGCCAAACAAAAAGGCTGAGTAGTTTTTTTTTATTTATTTATTTATTTATTTATTTATTTTTTTTTTTAATTCATAGAATTTATTTTTTGCTTTCACATTTACAGACTGTGTACAATAGATTTGTTTACATTCAATACATACATATACTATATAATTTTTCTTCCATATAATTTATATTATATACCTTATACAAATTCTCTTTGGTAAATGCTAAATACAAATTCATTTCATAAAGCTGCATAGGATATATGACATTCATGTATATTATGAATCTTCATTGTGAAAGCTTTATATACAAAAAAGTAAACAAAGGGGAGGGGTGAGGAAAGAAAAACAAAGTTAGGTGGGGGAACAGTTTTCACTATTTTACCATATTGGTACATTTGAGTATAAATTTATAGAACATTATAGCATATCACAAATAATTTTCCAGGTCTTTTCATATTCTGAAAATTTACAATTTCTTAAAAGAATAGCCTTTTCAACCAGTATTCTATCTACAATTATTTTTTCTAGCATTACTATACTTAATTTAGGCATATTTTTAAACCTACTGGCAAAAATGAATTGTTTAATAGTAAGTATTATTATATTGTGTAATCTATACATGTTTTTATTGTTGTATTTTCCAAACAGTATATCTTTTCTATCAAAATTAATAGTAAAATGGAAGTTTTTCATAAACCACTCCTCTATATGACACCATATTCTTTTTACACAGAAACATTCAAAAAATAAATGTTCAATTGTTTCAACTTCTTGTTTACAAAATGAGCAAACAGGTGAATCAATTAGTTTAAGTTTATAAAGGTATTCATTTGTTGCAATAATCCTGTGCAGGATTTGAAATTGCATCCACTGAAATTTTGCCTCTTTTGTAACTTTAAATGGTAGTTCAAATATTTTGTTCCATTCTAACTCACCAAAAGATATTCCATTATTTTCCCATTTTTCTAATGCTTTAATTTTTTGCTTTTTCTTCTTGATGAGTATATTGTACATATCTTTACAACCACTTGTGCTTTTATAAAAAATGTAAATTGAATTTGGGATAAAAGGTCCACTTTCTTCTCTTTTTTCAATATCAATACTTTTCAATATCTTTGTAACGGCTATTTTTAAACCGGTATATTCTACAAAATTAGTTTGTACATTCAGATTATTGAGGTACTCGAGGCTTATAAATTTTCCTTCAACGTCAAACAAATCTCTTATGAAAACAAAGCCTGCATCAAAATAACTTTTCAAAAATACAGAGGAATTATTTATTTTAATTCTTGGATTAAACCATATATGTTCATGAAGAATTTGAGTATTACTTGTTTTTTGACTACCACTGCAGTCAATGATTTTTACCCAATTAAGTAAAACCTCTTTCCAAAATTTGTTGCTTATTTTATTACACATCTTAACTATAAAATCTAAACCTCTTACCCAAAGAGATTCAATTTTCATTCCTAATTCTGATTCAAAAAGTTTTAACCATTTCGTGTCTGAGTAGATTAGTCTTCGAATCCATGTTGATTTTAATGCACATAAGAAATCCATATAATCAATCATTTTCAACCCCCCATTTTTATAGTCTTGGATTATAACACTCTTCTTAACCTTATGTACTTTACTTCCCCATAAAAAGTAATAAAGGTCTTTCTCAAATTCATCAATTAATTCCTTATTGGGGTTTGGAATAGTCAATATCAAATGGTTCATCTTTGGTATAATCAGGGATTTAATCACTGTTAGTCTACCAATGGGAGTCAGTTTTCTTAATTGCCATTGTTTTATCAATCGCTTTATTTCATTTAATTTTGGGGGGTAATTCAGTTCAATCATTTCATCTAAATTAATTGAAAACTTTACACCAAGAAGATCAAAAGTAGAATTATTCCAGTCTAACTTCCATCTCGAGTGATGAAAGACTTCTTTAGAGAATTTTTTACTACCGATCCATTTTTGTTTTTGTAAAATTAATTTTCAGTCCAGATACAATTGCAAAATAACCAAGCTCTCTTAATATACCATCCATAGATTGTGGTGATCCATCAGATATAATTGAAGTATCATCGGCATATTGTGAAAGTTTATATTCCTCCCCATCAATTACAATTCCTTTTATGTCTTTATTATTTCGAATGAGAATCCCAAGAACTTCAGCACATAGTAGAAAGAGATATGGTGAAATTGGGTCCCCCTGTCTACATCCCCTTTGTGGGAACAAGTAATCAGAGGAAATTCCATTCTGTATGACACATGATTTGATTCCATTATAAAATGTTTGTATCCAATTTTTAATGGATTCCCCAAAATTAAAAAAATCTAATGTTTGGTATATAAACTTTCATGATATAGTATCAAAAGCTTTTTCAAAGTCAATTAACATTAATAAGCCTGGAATCTGTTTTTGTTCTGTGTAATTCATTAAATCATAAACTAGTCTAATATTTTCACCTATGAATCTTCCCTTCAAAAAGCCAGTTTGGTCCTTATTTATTAATTTATTCAACACAGTTTTTAATCGTTCAGCAATACAGCCTGAGGCTATTTTATAAATCACATTCAATAAACTGATTGGGCGCCAGTTCTTTAAGAATTGTTTTTGTTTTCCTGGTTTTGGTAGGCAAGTTATTAAACCTAATTTATTTGGTTCAGTAAAGTGTGATAATTCATACGAGTTGTTTATTGCTCTTGTAATGAAAGCACCTAAATCCTGCCAAAAAAATTTGAAAAATTCACAGGTGAACCCGTCTGGTCCAGGGCTTTTCTCATTTTTCATAATTTTCAAATAATTCAAAACCAGTATAAAGATTTCTTTTTCTAGTTGCAATTCTTTTTCAGTTATTTTCTTTTTCTTAAAAGTTGAATAAGAAATTGATTTTCCTCTTATTTCCATCAATAATGTATCTAGAAATAATTGATCACTTAGCATAAATTGAATTTTATCATTTTCAATAGAGTCAATGTTATTAAAATTGTAGATAGGACAGGCGTATTGTAATTTAATATTTTTAATTTTTTCTTTTATCAAATTTACATATTCTTTATCTGCTAATAATGAGTTATTTAATTTCCAAAACCCTCTTCCTTTCAAAAATTCATTTGTTTTAACACCCATTACAACTGGACAGTGATCTGAACGATAACTATTTTCAAATTTTACATAAGGGGCCAAATTTAGTAACGATTCTGATATTAGGAAATAATCAAGTCTTGCCTGTTTTATTGGATTTTTCTTTCTTCAAGTGAATCTTTTTAAATTTGGATTGTTTTCACGAAAAATATCTTTTAAATTTAGTATCTCTATCATCTTTAATACTTCCATTCTTGATTTAGGGTTATTTAGGTTTTTATAGTTCATTGAATCCAAATCCTTATCTAAAATTAAATTAAAATCACCACCTATAATCATCAAGTAATATTCTTGTATCATATTTAAAATCTTTGTATAGAAGGCTGGTGTATCCTGATTTGGTCCATATATATTCACTAACAAAAAAGGAAGATTGTCTATTACTACATCTAGAATAAGATAATTGCCATTGTCATCTTTATATTCATTAATCAATGTCAAGTCACAGTTATTATTGATAAGTGTAGCAACTCCCCGTGAGTTTGATTTGTATGAACTAAAAAAAGCCTTATATCCCCATAATGCTTTTATCATGCTTTCATCTTTTGTGACAAAGTGTGTGTCTTGAAGGAAATAAACATTTAATTTTTTTTCTTTTAAAATTTTAAAGACATCCCTCCTTTTATTCATGTCCCCTAAACCTTGGCAATTTAATGTAAGTATTTTTAGGAAATTTTCACATGGATAGCCATTTATTCCACAGCAAATGCATAAAAAAGTTTACTGTTCCCCAACAGCATGAAAAAAAGAGTTGATAAAAAAAGTAAAAATCTATATACACTACAGAAAAGTAGTTTTTAAGCTCAGACACACCTGCTGTCATTTTGAAAATGTGCAAAACTAGACCCAAAAAACCTAACTTTAAGTTTATATTTGAAATGAAAATGTTAAAAATATAGAAAATTAATTTCAGTTGAGAGGAACTCTATATACTCAATTTCTTTCCTATTCAGTTCCTTTTTTCTAATTACAATTTGTTGTAGTTACCATGTTTGTTTTTTTTTTTCTATTAAAGAAATATATCTGAAATGTAATTACAACAAAAATTTATCCATATCAAAATGTCGCACTTTTCACTGTATTAAAATTGAAATTATGCACACAGACTCCTCTCTGAGTTGAGTGATAGAATAGAAATTGATCAAAAACTTACAAGTTTACATGCTGTACGATATCTATACCGGAAATTGAGTCTTTGAAAAAACACAAAAATAGTGACGTATACACTTGCAAATTCCGGAAAGTATCAAAACCTAAACATAATTTATAATTTATCCAGATATCATGTGCAGCATGAATATAGTCATATCGAAAACCACTAAACCACTAGAATAAATATTTTAGTTTATGCAGAATTACCGTAATAGTCAAATTCGATGAAAGTGCACAAATACTAACTAATTGAAAAAGTTATTTTCTGTAAGTTTGTATTTTTAGCTAGTGACTTTTCATAATTTACATTTTGAAGCGTCAGACGGGAACCGGCATATTTCTCGCCGCACTCATCCCAACCTCTGTGATGTGCGTGAAGCGTCTTGAACCGATCTTACTACCACACCACCGCGAAACGACCACTAATGCGTTATTTATGTCATTATCAGCCAGTGTCTTTAGTAGCATTCTCCCAGCTCCGTGCTCGCCGTCATCTTCCGATCCCTCGTGTATCGTGCCGTCGTTACTGGTGAACCGAAACGCATAAATGTTATGACTTGCACTGGTAGTGTTATCTGTCCGCATAACTTCCACAAGCGATCGTCTCACCTGTTTATAGGAATCTACTGGCGTTGCGTGGGCAGCAAACCGGTTTCCATTGTCTTCTGTTGTCTTCCCCGTACTGATCGCGATCTTTACCTCTTCTCCACTGATGATCTCATCGGCCATTGGTCTGCTACCAATTTTTTCCCTGTACACCGTCTTGCTCTGCGTGAAAATGAGCTTCTGACCTTTTAGCACCGTTTCTATGTTACGGTCCGCATATTTCTTTTGGACATCATATAAATGCTTCCTTTTTTCACGGACTTCTTCAGGTTGGTGTTGAGACACTCTTATTGGGGACTTCTTATCCTTGAGAATTTTAATGTGTCTCATCACAATGTCCTTATGTGATTTATTTACAAACTGGACACAGACTGGCCGAGGATATTTCCTATGTTTGTCGTATTCCCCCATTCGGAACACTTTATATATCTGTAGGCTATCAACAGTCTCTGCCGGTATCTCCATCTCTACTGCAAACACGTTACTAATGATCTTCACAAGGTTTTCAGGATTTTTTATTTCGGGCGCCTTTTCGTCTACTCCACTCACAATGATATTGTCTTCAATTGCTCTAGATCTTAGTTCTAGAATCTGTTCACTTTGAGTCTTTACACAATACTCCAGTCGAACTATGTAATCTTTCATTCGGCTAAGTTCTCTTTCCATCTTCTTCTGTTTTTCCTGCAGTTCAGTGGTTATATATATCGTATCGTTCGCCTGTTCTTGTACGTTTTCTAATCTCTCCTGAATGCCATGTTTTCCTCTAATGTCCTTGGTAACTTCGTCTAGATGGCGACCTTGTCCATCAATCCTTAGTAGAAGGTTTGCAAGAGTATTTTGTATATTAGTTATACCGTGCATGACATCTCTCATCTGAAAGTTTTCACATTCCTTTGAAATTTCTTCATCACTAGTACTGGTGTTAATGGTGTTAGTGTCCATATCATCGAGCGCTCTCTTTTTAGACTGGGTCAATTGACTAGCCATATTTCACAATGTAACAGTGGAACGTATGAGTATCGCTCACTAGTGTTCACAAACAGATATGTTTACAAATTTTGTTTACCTTCTCGTTCCTCGCTTCTATTGCATTTTTTTGGTTAAAACACACTTCAACACACTTTAAAACATCTTTGAATATCAGCAATGCATTTTCAAGATCTAAAATTAATTAAATTCGAGGTTTTTGGACTACACTTTGCTCTCGATAAAAACTTACGTCTACATGTCGAGCATGCGCACTCCTCCTTTCTGAGTAGGCTGAGTAGTTTTCATAGATACCATACCCTATGGAAAATTAAAAAAAGCATGTGCACAAATATCATTGTGATTAATAATTTCAACAAAAAAGAAGTAGCATCATCTTTTGTCAGAGTCCAATAAATATACCATGTACATACGCCAGTACATGTTTACATGTAAGAATATCAGTTTACATTTTAAAATAAATTCCTTTACATTTCCAAATTCAAATACAACACAAATTATTTTTTTCATTAATGAACAGTAAAATGTAAAAAAACATTTGAAAATATTAATCATATTAATATTGATTACTAGATACATTTATCATATAATCATTGTATATGTAAACACAATTTTTAAAGTTTTACATCTTTGTAAGGTGCAGTCATGCCACTCAGAATATCACTAATCTCCCCTGCTTCTCTTCTGTAGTAAGTGACTGTCCTTTGTTTATTAGCCTCTTCTAAAAGCACTTAAGATCCTTTGGAAAAGAATTGCTGCCTGATTAACATTATCCAAAGTACCGTCATGGAATCCACGGAACTCTAATCTCTGCTTTTTAACAGCTTTAAATATCTGATTTTCCATTATTCCTAAAATAATAATTATAATATGCTGTACATGTACATGAACTTATCATTCATCAATTTAGAATTCTTTAGTTTATACTACATTATTATTAAGGTACTAAATGGTTATTTTGATTTTATAAATTACTTTACATGGAATATCAAGTTTATATAATGCAGTAATTTCATTAAAAATCTAAAATAGTTGCATGATATTCTCCCACCTTTGGAGTCTTATTAGTTGGTGGTGTTCAATGATGTTTCCTTGCTGTCTGTAATAAATAGTGTAACCTTTTCCTTCAAAACCATTATGCAGCACATCGCATACATTCTGTGAAAATAAAGTGGAGTTTAATTCATCTAAAAAACAATAATACTAATTTATGAAATACAGTAAAACAAAGTTATAACAAAGTCACTGGGAGCTATGAAATTACTTTGCTATATCAATTACTCGTTATATCCATATAAGGAATTTGTTAAATTTATATAGCTGGGGATCTAAAATAACTTCGCTATATCCATGAATTTGCTATATCTGTCTTCGTAGTAAACGAGTTTTGCTGTATGTGAAATATCTTTTCTACTAGTGTATTTTTCATCATTTGCAATATGCCTCCAGTTTTAATCTTAGTACAATTTATTGAATTTAAAAAGAATCTACACTACTTGAGGCTTCTTACAATGACTTCCATATCAGTACAATATTAATCATGGCTTTGCTGTTCTGGGGAAGATTCTCCCCTATATATTGCAATGTGAAACTTTGATCCCCATTGAGGCCCCATCCTACCCAAAGGGGGTTTAACTTTACACTACATCACCAGAGAATGCTTCCCTATCATCATCTTCATGTTCTTGAGAAGATTTTAAAAGATTGTTACTTAAACCATTGCAAGTTTTCTATCTATATTTTAAGATCCATGTGCACCTTGGTTTTGAATCCCAATGAGAAAAGCCCTTTATTTTTCATTCAAAAGTCATGACCAAGGTCAAGTTTTTGAAAAGTTTTTCATTTTCAGTTGGGTGTCAAATCTGTAATCTGTTATAAATCTGTTTGCCTGTGACAAAATTTGTGCATCTCAGGCAGTTGAGCAACAGTTTTTTTCAAACACTGCCTTGACCATACCATCATACTTATTCATGCCTCATCGCACATAGGGGAGTGCACAGTAACTTAAACAGGTCTAAATGACAAGATTATCTGATGACACATCAGCTTAAATTTGCATGTAAATTGGCTCTCAGTTTTCTTTACGTAGTTTTAGACAGCAGCACCAGGTGCACAATTATCATTTAACCCCTCAATCAAATATCAAAAGTAAGACATACAAACGTCACAAGGTTTGTACGGTACGTATTGGAAGCAACTACAGTGGTACCTCATTTATCCGGACGCTTTGGTTCCTAGTCAAATTTCCAAATATGTGAAGTGTCCTGATACCTGAATTACCAGTTAAATAAGACAAAATAATGTTAAAAATTTTCGTTCCGATGAAAAATCATCCGAATATTGAAGCATTCGGATATATTGCATCCAGATATCTGAAGGTTCACTGTATTTATCATCTAAAACTACAATTTTAAATGCGAGCATCGAGCAGTGTCTTTGGAAACTAATCTTTCAATTTTGCCTGTATAAAGTAAAAAAGAAACTCTGTTGTTTTTGGTGATGAAGTAAATAAAGTATGCAGTAAATCGACGAAAACCGTGTGTCGCTTCTGATTTGTATTAACAAATAGTAGACTGTCATGCTTGGGGACTCATTCAGTTAATTGTAGAATGCTAGAGTAGAGACAAAAACATTGTGCTGAAAATTACCTTTCATTAACGGTAGTGTACCCGAGCTCTTAAGAAAATGGAAATTCGTCTTTTGCTTAAAAGTATTCAACAGCTGCAATACTACAAGTATCTATGATTTTTCCTTTTTATTAAAGACTCATAATACATTGTCATATAGGACTTGTAAAATACTTTTGACTGCATATAAAAAGCTTTACCAAGCTATTTTGAATAGATTAATAGCGAGTGCAGCAAGGGTCGCAAAGCGATGCACGAAACTGCGAGCTCTGATGAAAACGTCTGGGCAAAGAGAAAATTCACACTACTGCACATTCATTCCTAAGAATTTTTTACCGCAGTAATTTAGACCCACAATGCATCGATTCATACACAAACTCTAAAGCAACATTCTCACTAGAATAACAACAAAAGTTAAACGAATAATAAACTTGTCTTGATTTAATGATTTTATCTGTTTATTGCAGAAAGATATTCATAAACTGATTAAATCAGCCTTGTTCGGGCATCGGTTTGGTAAAGCAACATACAAACGACGTCATATGACGTCAGAATCTAATACGCACGGAATGTCACGTGCGGATTTACATGTCCAATCTAAATGAAAATTGATAAGTATATGCGCTCGCCCTAACGGTCGCACCGTCAACATATTAAAGCTATATAGCTATTTCAAGCTACAAAATTAATTATCTTAATCAAGAAATTGTTCTGCAGTGTTCTGGACCTGATCTTACCTGGTCAAATGTAACTTTCCAAATGTACATTATCTTCCCTCTCCAAGTCGAGTAAGTTAACAAAATCGGACTGCCACCCCTCTCTGAGAGTTTACTCTTGGACTCTGGTGGATTACCGTAGAATTTAAACTTCTGAGATAGATCACAACGGTGTCAGTAGGCGAGTACCGTTTCGGGATAACGTCAACAAGGTCAATATACTAATCAACACGACACATGGCTATACTTTTGCCCGAAAACTATGCCTAATCTGTTCTTGTAGAATCCTTTCAACCAATTTATGTCACTTCACACATATTTTTGCAATAAACATCACAGGATGCATTAAAATAACTTTGCAGCGTACAGCTAACCATGGAGGCTGCCATTTATTTTTACTAGCGCCACCTACGTAAAATTGCCAAGGGAGATAACTCATTTGAAGAATCTTGACAAATTCTCGATTTTAAACACCTTGTATCTTTTCAACACTTCGTTTGCAGAAAAATATTAAAGTAAATTTTTATTAAGCCTCCCATGTTCACTTGAATTATGTATTAAGTTTTTGTACTTCTTCTAGGTTTTAAAGATATTTTTTTTCTGAAATAGGCATTATTTGCACACTATCTATACAAAATTACACCTCAAGTACTTTATCCCTGGCTATATGAAAAAAAGAATTATAACAAAATCAACTGTTTATATTCAATTTAGACCCAAATGAATATATTAAACCCAATTTTATTGAATTTGAAGATGGTCGATGAATCACCTTTTCTGTACTGTCTGCATGATTTTTACACGGAGCCCACCGTGCCATAGCGTTACTATGATGCAATTATTCCTTAACGTATGATGAAACGATTCCTTATGGAGTTTTTACATGGAGATTTGACCAAGGTAAGGTAATGTCGTATTTGTATGCCTTAAACGCAAAATAGCCCTAATTGTGTTAGCCGTTGCATTATAGGAATGACACAGGCATCTGTTGACATAACGGACAATGTCCAGTGATGCGCCGTTTTCTTAAACACTTTGCACTTTCATAATAAAGAGGCTTAAAAGTTCGATTTATCCATAAAACTTTTTTCCCAATCAAGTTACAAGATCAGCTACACGTTTACCATAATGAAAATTCGTTCTTTTTCCTTTTCACTCTAGAATTATGATGAAAATATTTATTTATTTGTTTTAAATATGGGTTTTTAGAAGTAACGTATGATGCAACGATTCCCATCATCAGTAACGTGCGATGCAACTATTCTTTAACAATCGTATTTTTAGACCAATATGTTGGATTTCTTAACTAGGACACGTTTCAAAGTAGGGTAAATAAAATTACTCATTGCTTTCTTTTTATCACAGAATACCAAATGGTTAAGAAAAAAACTTGACTATAGAACGGCTAAAAGAAATCAAAGTATTGAAAGTACTGAAAGCTGGGACGTTGCGCACGGTATTGGTACACATTGACGTTACGTCAAAATAACGTTATAAAGTAATAACGTTGTTATAACGTTTTGAACCTTAAACATGCATATTTTAGATCTTTAAATGTATTTTATTTTTCAAAAGTATTTAAAAAAAAAAGATAAAAGGGCACATAATGTTTAATGTTTGAACCTTCTTTTTTGAAATATTTATATGTTTATTAATAAATATTAATAGTAAAATTTTAATTACTGAAATGCCAAAGACACTCAGTGAATATTCCTCTTTCTATTTTTCTCACTTATCTGTCTTATACTTGTAAGGAGAAAATATATAAGTAGTATTCCCTTTCAACCTCCTTCAATATTTTTTTATC